TTTATTATTTTTTTCCAAAAGTAAACAACATATCTATCTATCTATCTATCTATCTATCTATCTATCTATATATGTATATTTAGTAGTCATCTGCACACACACACACACACACATACATATGTATATATATATATATATATATATATATATATATATATATATATATATATATATATATATATATATATATAATTTATGCGAAATTAAAATAAAGCATAATATATTTTTTAATTTTTTTAAAATTCCACATTACGACAAAAACGTTTGCGGTAACTCTCTTCTTTTTTAATATACACACTTTTCTCTCGTTGGAACTACTATAACCTCATCCCTTTATATATATATATATATATATATATATATATATATATATATATATATATATATATATATATATATGTGTGTGTGTGTATATATATATATATATATATATATATATATATATATTATTTTATTTATGTATTTATTTATTTTTTTTTTGCCTATTCTCGGGCGGTGGGAAAAAAACCCAGACAATACAATTTGTAAATAAAAAAATATTGGTCAAACCGATATAGGGAACAAAAAAAAATTAAATAAAAAAAGAAAAGACTAAAAACATCCGTACTGCTTGAAAATAATCAATCAGCACCGCCATGTCTAGCCAAAAGAAAAAAAAAAAAATATACTGACATTAACCTATGTTGAAACGTAAAAGTACACTCAGTAGTGCATAAACTAGAAAGCCAAAAGAGCCAGAACCTATCTGACTCTTTAGAATATATATATATATATATATACATATATATATATATATATATATATATATATATATATATATATATATATATATATATATATATATATATATAATTCTGTCTGTCTGTTCATCTATCTATCTATCTATCTATCATTCTATCTATCAGAGTTTGTTTATCTATCTAGTGAAGGCGGGCGAGCAATAACTGAACTGTACAAAATCAGAACAAGACGAGATATCTCTATCCTATGATCCAGGTTAGAATTTCAGATTAGTCCACTGGAGTAGATAGTTCTAAGTTTACATGTCATGTTTTTTTTTTCTGGATATTTCAGTATCAGTTATTTCCCCTTAGTAACCCAAATCCCCACGTTTTTGTTCACCTTTGTTGTGAGCCAGGTATTGGACTCACAACTCTTTGATTCAAGTCATTAGTTTACTTCAGCCAACGTTTTTATCCACTGGACCACGTGTCCAGTGAATAAAAGTTTCGGTTCGAAATTCCAACGTATACCTCCTGAAGAAGGCATGAGTGTACAACACCCGAAATGTCGTGAATATGAAAATAAAGATGAGGACAACGGTTCAAACAATGTAAATACTTTAAATACTTACAATATCTCATGTCCGAAATATAGACAGAAGAGAAATTAATGTCTACCGGATTTGATCATCGAAAGTCTTACTAAAGGAAATGTACCTCTCACCTGTAATCGAACTTACATTACATTTTTTCTAAAAAAAGAATGTAATAATAAATATTATCAGATTAAAAAAATCCATCAATTTACAGCATTTTCCTCTTGCTGGTCCAAGAAATTTCGTAGATTGAAGAATTTCGACACTTTGTCGAATTTACCGTTCGTCCAGTTATTTATGAGTTGGCATAACCGCTTCATTTAACTGCCAATGCAGTTTGGAGATAAGCCAACAAGTTTTATTAGGTTTATAAAGAGAAAATATATTAACTTACGAAAGCCCATCTGATTTCACATCAAATATAGCAATTATTTTTCACGAAACTGCATTTCATGTATTAATTTATTTGATCCATTAGAATTTTTTACGCAATTTTCTTGTTCTAATCATTGTCAGGAATCGGAATGAGTAATCAGAGATCTGAGTTCGAATTCCAGTCGAATCCATTACATTCATTTACCTTGGGAAAGTTAATCATCCTCGTCTTCTCCCATCAGCTGTGGGTAACTAGTAGGGCAGATTGGGATCTATAACCATGGATGGCAACTGGTCTACCGCAGAAAGAAACGGTAACCTACTGCGGGAAAAAAATCTGCCTCTTCAGTCATGTATCGAAAGATACATGATCGCCTAAGCGTGTATCACGCATGACACATAACTGACTGAGCATCTTCTGGCGAAACTAATAAGAAAATAATATTAATTAAGCAATCAAGAGGCACGGTTGAATATTGGATAACAGCTAGGGTTAGGTTCGAGTTCCAGTCGAATCAATTACATTTACTTATGTACTAATAACCTTGGGAAAGGTAGGAATCCACTTCTTCTCCCCACCCCACCTATAGGTAAATAGCAGAACAGACTAGGTTCTATAGCCTTGGATGGCAACTGGTCTATCGCTGAAAGAAATGGCAAACTACTGCAGGAAAAAAAATCTGCCTCTTCAGTCATGTACCGATTAAGATATCTCATCAACTGCATCTGTAATATATATTTTTAATTGCAAGAGACTTTATGAAAACTATATATATATATATATATATAGATAGATAGATAGATAGATACATAGATAGATAGATAGAGATGTATTATATATATATATATATATATATATATATATATATATTAAGCGTTTCACTCCAAGCAAAGCGAGAAGCCACTAGGACGCAAGG